GTGGAGCGAAGTGGTCATTATGGATGTCTGTCACATATTGTTGGGATGATTGTAGTAGTTTGACTAGAGTACGCAACACGACAAATTCAGAAAAACGTATTCCATCACCAAGGATGGGAAACATATCATCCCACTTCCTTCGTCAGAGCCCGAGATCACAGGAGCTCTTACCAGCATAACAACGTCTATGAAACTAGTTTTAGTGACAATAGAGGATGATGGGATTGCGACACCGCCTTTATACACGAAACAAGCACGGCAGTGGACATTTCAAAATATTAGGTTCGATACCTTACCCCCAACGCCACCACCGTGCGGGAGGGTTCATGTTACCCCCACTTCATATTTGGTTAAGCCTACTGTGGATGACCTTGGGTGGTTTTAAGCAACTTAGGCGAGACACACAATTCAATTCAGTAGTAAACTCCTAGAAGATTTGACCGATGTGGATGTTTGCTCGTAAGTTGGGAAAGACCCTCAAACACTTGGGAGGACGCTGCAGTAGCTAGTGGGATCTTGAAGCCGCTGGGATTATAGATGAAGAACTAGAAGCTTCGATTAATGAAGTAGAAGCTCCCCCAACCTTGAGAGATTGACGCGGGGTTGATGGCAGCCTGGTGAACCGGCTAGCAGATGGATCAGGCAAACCCGATCTAGGGAGGTCAGTCTCGATCGAGACCGAGCGGCATCTGGGCAGGCCGATCCTGACTCCTATGAGACCAAGCGACAATTGGAAGGGGTGACAATGCTGCCAGCCCTCTATGGCGGCAATGCTGCCAGGCCCCTTCCTTTTTTGTCTGTTCTCCTTGTTTCTCGCCCCATGGGAGTATTTATTTGTTTGTTGTTAGAATTAGGGTTAGGTTTTGTTTGATTACTGTTTTTAGATTCTATGTGGAGTCTCTCTTCCCTTGCTAGAGCTGTATCTGACGACTCGTGATGCTTCAACTGTATTCTGCTCCGAGGTGGTGTTGTATTCTCCCCCATCTTCCTCCCTACCAGTTCTCTTTCATCTTCCTTAGTCGTAGGCCATCTCATCTCCTCCCAACTGCTTGCCGCCCCCCTTGTTGCTGCTGCAGCTTTGCTGTCCAGCCTCCGGTCCACCTTCCAACACCCCATCCTTCCCTTCTCGGCAGCAGCCTTTGCTGTTCAGTCCCCTCGGCCCTCTACCTGCACCCTTCCATCCCTTCCGCTGCAGGAATTATTTGCTGTCCAGCCCACCTAAAGCCCACCAAACCCTTTTTTAACCTACCATGCAGTCACCAGGCCTTCTCCACCCCACTTACCATGTTGACGACGCCACCATCGCCTTCAAATCTTCTCTTCTATCCCTAGACAAAGATTAGTGTTTTATTTTCCTTTCCAATTTGTGTCGAGTTGTAACCCTAATTTTGTGCTTAATGAAAGTTTGTTTTCGTTTTTGCAGAGTTCTGAACTAGTTCCGGTATCAGTCATATGGATGAAAGTGTGACTTATTTGATAGAGGCGATTATGTTTGTTTGTCATCAAACTCAGTAAACGTGCTTGATTAATTTGTTATGCTTTGTAAATGGCATTGGAATTTGTGATTCGCTTGGCTTGGATTGTTTATGTTCATTGCATGTTTATTGATGGCTTGTAACCACACTTGTTTAATTATCATATAGTGCTATTTTTAAATAGTTTAGAAGTTTGCACAAGACTCATTTGAGGTTGGGTTAACTGTTCATTGTAGATTTTTTTTAGGTGGTTGAGTTGAAGCAGGAATAATGTCTTATTTAAGCCTCCCTTGTTTTGACTTGATGCTAGGGGTGTTAATGAACAAAGTCTATGTGAGCTCGCTATTTGTTCTTGTTCTGCATAATTGAAAATTTGTTCATTTGAAATCTGCTTTCAATCAAATTGTTCATGAATAGAAATATTTGTGTTAAATTTATTTTGAATTTGTCTATTTATGTGCATAGTGTGTTTCACTCATATTTCTCTGGAATTAATAAAACCTACTAAATTTCAATTTTTGGTAAATAAGCATAAAAAATCAAGTAAATATATGAAAAGTAAAAATAACCTTTATTACAAATTTATGATTTATATAATTAGTAAAATATATAAAATTAATATTAAATTTTAATTATTTGATTAGTTATTTATTTTGAACAAAAATTATCAAAACATCAGCACACAAGTATCTGATTGTGTTTAGATTGTTTATAAATCGTGTTCAAGTTTGACACGCTTGTTCAATGATTGATTGGAACAAGAGCTATTCAAGAACTAGCTTTTTTTGACAATCGTACATAATGTTCAGTTCTACCATCTTCTTTTACCCCTACCGCCCTCTTTGGTACTATTTGGCATGTAATGCAATTTTAAGAATTGGCCTAATTCCAGAACGTTGAAATATTTGTTCATGGATGTAGGCTTTGAAACCATAGCTTTGAACTTGTTTTAATGTTGATCCAAACTCTTATTCCATGGGGTGTAATGTTTAGGTTGCTCTATCTTTTTAGTTGGATGAGATTGGCAAATGGCATAAGTATATTGGTTAGACCGCTTGCATCATTTTTTATTTACAGTTTGAACAATAAAGATAGTTGAGGAAAATTGGTTAGAGTGCTTTGAAAATGCTCATTGCACGAAAATGATGACTTGTTGGATTGTTTAGTGGCTTGATGGATGTACCACTTTTCTTGTGTTGTTGAAATCACACAATTCTTTTCCATAGTAAGTGTCTAGATCTGTGATGATCCAAAGTTCAATTGATGGGCAAGCTTGTGCCAAGTGCTTATACATGTTGTTTCAAAATACTGTCTTTTCAAAGTCATCGTAGAATCGTAGTGTGCAGTAGGGGTGTAAATTAGTCAAGCCGACATGTGAGCTGGCTCTAGCTCGGCTCGATAAGTGGCTCGTGAACTAAGCTCGATGAGCTAACAAGCCAAGCTCAAACTGGCCCGGACTCGACTCATTAGCTCGTGAGCTGGTTCGTTTAAAATAATATCGATATGAAATATACTCTAAATATATTAAATTTCAAGACTTTATATTTAAGGTATTAAAAATGTTTAAAAAATAATATTTTGTATTGTATATTAGTGGATTTTTTGTTATTTATTTTAATTGTTCATTATATTTATCATCTTATTATAATGCTGGTTTAAATTAATATCATTTTCATGCTTTTATGATTAACAAGCCGGCTCAAACTTGCATACTTAAACTCGAACTCGATAAAATTAATCAAGCTCAAGCTCAAGCTGAGGGGGACTGGAGCTTGACTCGACTTGTTTACACCCCTATTATGTAGTGTGTTGTGTGTAATTTGTTGTGTGTGAATTCTAGTTTTGGCATCAAAATATAAACAATTTGGAAATAAGTTGATGACATAGAACTGAGCACAGTCTACAAAGTAGACCTGAACATACATAACTCACGCAATATTTTTTGTCATTCTTCTTGTTCTTCTACTGTGTGGCCTTCTTGCCAGTTTCATGTGCTGATTATATTTCAGCCATTACAAGATAATTGCCTTTTTATTAAACGCTTGCAGATTGTATCTTTTCTACACTTCAGTATTTAGGCAGGAGCCTTACGACTTTTTCTACTACTCGTTGAGTCGGCTTCCATGACTGTTAGATTTTCTAGCATTCTTCACCAATTATGCAGGCCAGCTTACATATTGCGGGCTTGCAGCTATTGTTTTACTACTATTGTGGTTTTGCAGGCTTCCACTTGCTCTTTAACTTCATAGCTATTCTCATTGGCTTTTTTATCTTAACTGTGATTATAATTTCTTCTTTATTGTTCGTATTTTAATTTCTAGCTTTATGTCTGCTTTCATTTTTATTCAGTCGTACTGTTTAGTTATTTGGTGTGGTGGACTCTGGAGATGCGCCTATTAATTGCATCCTTAGATTTCCTTGCAATTTTATACTTTTTCTCATCCTTCTGAATGCTGCTTCTTTGTCCTTGCTTTCATCCGCTGTTTAAATTTCTTAGATTTTTTGCTGCTATTTTATTTTTTTTGTTTTGGTTGCTATGTTTTAAAATTTTCTTTATTGGAGGAATTAGTTGTTGGTCTTCACTGTTTTTAAATAGAGCTGTTATATTTTTTGTGGCATTTGCATACGTACTATATAATTCATTCATATTTACATTTCTAACATCTCAACTTTCATATTTACATGCATAGTACTCAAATCTTTAACATTACATAAAAAAATATCTCCATTGCTTACTTTTTAAAAGTTGAATGCACATTTTCATGCATAGGTCTATGATATCAAAGTGTTATTTATATGTTAATATGAAAGTTTATGTTATATATGTAAATACATAAGAATTATATAGTATGTATGTAATTTTTTCAATTTGTTTTATTTTAGTGCTGTTATAAGTTTTCAGTAGTTCTTTACCTTCAAGAACTCTGGCTGTGATTTGTGACCTTAAGATTGCCTGGATGTTCTTCCCTGATTGTTGATTTTCATTGGTGCTGATGTAATTATTGTAAGCATTCCTTTACTATTTCCGTGAAATTCTCTCACTTTTAAGGCTTCTATGAAATTATAATCTTATCGCTTTAGCTGAGCATTGGACTTATATGCTGATGCACATTCTTGGTTCTTCTTCCTTTTTTACTGGCCTCATCTGTTCATTGTTCACCGCATGCTGTATATTTTTTCATTATCACTCTTTAATTTGAATCCTGTTAACATAGCTTGATAATATGCTCACGTATGTTACAATTAATAATTGTGTTATTTAAAATATTGAATTTCCATTCTATAATAAATATTGTAAATTGAATGCACTGCAGTTAATTGGGTTCATCACTTTGTGAAAAACGCTTTTTTTTTTTAGTTTTCTGTGCTTCAAAGATCTTTTGCTTGAGGCCCAACAACGTTACAATGAACCTCTTTGTTTAGTAATCAATTTTTTTTTCCTTGCTAGAAAGAAACCTCCATAGAATAGTTTTACTTCAAAATTAGTCACATTTTCACAATAATTTTCACCGTTTACTATTTCAGAATGAGACGACCACACAGAATATTCCACCTTGTTCTACTTTGTTTATTGCAAATCTTGGACCTTCTTGTAATGAAGCAGAGCTAAAGAAAGTTTTATCCGAGTAAGTTGAACTTTTGCTTTGCTAATTGAATGAATTGGTTGCATTGATTTTTTTTTCATTAATTTGGTTTTTCTTTTTCCTATTAAGGTTTTCTGGTTTCCAAACGGTTAAAATGAAAGGGAAACGTGGAATGCCTGTTGCTTTCGCCGACTTCGAGGTATCTAAATGCAGATTTATGTAGAATTTTTGAAGCTTTTTCAGGTGTATTTTTTTCTATATAACAAAATTTAATGAATAAAAGTCATAAAGCCTTTTCTGAAGGTGACCTTTTTTTTATAGAAAATGTACATGTTATTTATTTTCAAGTATTCATGTGTTAGCCGTAAGACTTTGAGATTTATTTCCATTGCCTTGTGCCCATAAACCTATCTCATTTTATCAAAGAAAATATGAGAGTAAAATAAACATTTGGTGATGATGCATAAACTTCCCAGAATGTTGATATTTTTATAAAATATGACACTCAAAAGGATGCAATGGAGAAAAGGGATTCATGTTGCCGACCCCACTTAGTGGGATAAAGGCTTGTTGTTTTTGTTGTTGTATTGTTGGAGAAGTTGGCTCCAACATCTCACAAGCCTCATCTTATTTATGTAATAATTTTTTGGGTGCAGGACGTTGAATCCTCTACTGCTGCTTTGGAAAGCTTGCAAGACACTTTACTAGACTCCTCTGATCGCGGTGGAATGCACATCGAGTATCCTGCCATCCCCATCCTAATTTTTTTTTTCAAGAATTTACGTGCATGCCACTCAATTCTTATGTATTTACATATCTAACACCTAAACTCTAATTTTTAAATATTTGCCATTTTACCTATACATGAAAATGTGCATTTTTCATTTTAGAACTTAAAAAAGTGGTACTTTTGACGTGATCTGGAAGGTATGATTGCTACAAATGTAAAAAAGTAAAATTGAGGTCTTGGAATTGTAAAAATATAAGAAATGTGTGGTATGTATATGTAAATCCCCCTTTTTTTAAAAAATTATTTTCTTTTTCTTTATTGATATTTCGATTTGGTACATTCCTTGAAATTTTGCCATTGTGGTGCCATATAATTTTTCCCAAGTATTCATTCCATATCTTGTCTTCAAACTTTCCAGATATGCAAGGTCCAAAATGAGGAAAGGCTGAATCGGTCATGGAAGACAACTGCAATCTATCGTATAAGTTGCATGGAATACTTTTAATTTAGAGAATTTCTTGTGTGTTATTGAAGAACAAAAGAAAAAAAGAAAAATAGGCCGTCTGTTTTGAATTGCTGTTAACATGTTGAAGTTTCTTCTGTTCGGATCTCTAATATCTTTGGAAACCAACATTCTGCTGCTGCTTTTTGCTTATCTGCTTTGTTCTCTTTTGAACCTTATTCACGCGTTTATTAGTCTGTTGTGTTTCATATTATCATTTTTTTCTTCTTTTTTGAGCCGAAAATTTACAAAAACATTATATATCTATATATCTATCTGTGTGTGTGTGTGTGTGATGTTTGCTTAGGTTAAGCGAGTTTGTTTATTGTTTATGAGTTCAGAATATGTTGGTTGGTGGGGTTCACTATAAGTCCCCCCCAGGTCACGGGTTCGATCCCCAATGGCGCTGGTTCTCGAATATTTAGACATATGACACGAGCTCTCATCATGGGATTTAGCGCATGAGAAATCGATATTCAGGCCTCTGCCAAATACCAATTTTTTTTTTAAAATTATATTATAAGTCCCCTTCAGGTCACGTGTTCGATCCCCAGTGGCACTGGTTCTTGAATATTTAGACATGACGCGAGCTCTCATCATGGGGCTTAAATCGATATTCAGGCCTCTGCCAAATACCAAATTTTTTTTTTAAAATTATATATATATATATGATAACATGCGCAAGGCAGCTTCGGCGTATGTTTCCTGTTTTTTTATTCGAATGGTCGAATTAGCACATATGAGATGGATAGACACATGTTATGTTTCCTGTTTTTTTTATTCGAATCCATCTGGGTCGAATTAGCACATATGAGATGGATAGACACATGTTGCATTTCATTTTGTTATATGTGTGTATATAATGAGAACTGGCTCGTTTATAACAAAAGATTGGCTCGTTTATAACATATGAATAGTGCCACAAGTTATAGATGTTAAAAAAATAAAAAAATTGTAGATAACTTGAGTACAAGACAAAAGAGCTAAAATATGAACATAAATTAGGAGCTGTAATAAACAAATAGCTCGTATCTAAATGGCAAATCTAGATGTTGTGACATGCAAATTAAATACATTTGAAAAACAATTTCGGAAGACAGGGATTGATTAAAGGTTACATGTTTGAAAATTGTGGAAAAAAAAAAAAAATCTAAAGAGCTCAGGTTTCAGATTGAATGATTTTAGATTTACAATGTAATTTTACATTGAAAATTGGAAGATTTATGTGCATGCCATAAGCCTTATATAATTATACATGTATGCTGCCTTGAACACAAAAAGATGAATTTCATTTTTTAAGAGGTTTAATGGTGGTATTTTTGATGTGGTACGAAATATTTGGGTGGTATAAATGTAAAAAGTAAAATTTAGGTGCTAGATATGTAAATACATGAGAATTAGCCTAGAAAATGAAGCTTTGACTAACCGATGGGTTGATGATTTTTTTTTATTTGAACGAGGCAAACTATTATATGAAATATAAGATAATTAGTCGTTTAATTTGCAAAAAAAATTTACATTATTTTTTTGAAAGTTGTTAAATCATTTTTTTTATTATAATGTCCATTGAAATAATGGTAAGGTATATATTCATATAAGTATTAAGGTTGATCAAACAATCATTTATAACTTGATGTGCTCATAAAATAAAAATTTAGCTCATGAAAATAGCAAAAAAATGTAGCCCATCAAACTAAGATTTCGATCAAATCAGATCATAAGTTTTGGACATCAATCATTCATAAATTCATGATAGGTTGGGGTTGACATGTAAATTAGTGGCACCTCTCGTGGAAATACTAGCGGTGTCCGATCTGGACCGCTTATCACACTCCATCAATTTTTTTTTTTAAATAAAAATAAAAATAAAATGAGGCCCACCAAAATACAACTTTTACTGTGATGAACGGTCCGGTATGGAATAATTTTTCCTCTTCCTGACCACAGATTTAAAGGCTAAAACAGCTTTAAGATATTAAGATGGAATAGAATTTTTTTAGGGAAATTTACATACATAGCACCCATTTTTTTAATATATATTTACATATATATAACATCTGAACTTCATATTTACATTCATAACATTTTGGTTTTTTAAACCTACCCTTCACAAGGCATCTTTGACTTCTAAGAAGTTGTGATAGTGCTGATTTTGATGTAATATTAAAGAATAGAGTACTATGTGTGTAAATATGAAAGTTTGGGTGTTAGATATGTAAGTGTAATATTAAAGAATGGAGTACTATGTGAGTAAATATGAAAGTTTGGATGTTAGATATGTAAATACATAAAAATTGTGTGCTATGTATGTAAATGCACCCCATCTTTGCTACTAAAGCTTAAATTATATATGTTAAAAAAAGTGTCATCACTTAGGTCAAATTAGTTATATATTAGTAAATTTATACATTTATAATAATATATTGATTTTTTTAATTAAATTGCCAAAAAAGTTACAAAGGAGGCAATGAAGATAAACATTTACATTGCTACTATGGTTAAGAGAATATTTCTTAACTACCAAAGCTAATAAATAATATTAACTTCTAGCATTTTAAGACTATAAAAATATTGCTATTATGAAATTATAACATAGATTGGGGACTAGGGGAATCTTGGGAAATACTGTAAGGTTAAGCTCCACTTAACTGTAATATAGTTTCCAACACTACTTATGGCCTAGGCATAGGATAAGGAGAAGATAGCCCTATTTTTCAGCAAGTGTGGGTTCCATAGGAAAACTTTGAGAAACCATCTGATAGGTGTCACAGTAGTATGGACCATTCATATCTAAAAAATCTCATAAAAATCTAGCTTATCATTTTCTTTATGTATTAGGTTTTAGAATTTTCATATCTGCGGGTTGACATTCAAACAAGGCTTAGCAGTTTAGTAAACTAGAACTACACATGTTATGAATGTTTTGACACTTTCCTCTTGAGATTGATGCAAACTCATTTCCATATATTACTTGATCGACATGTATGCTTGCGTAATTAACCGACTTGCCTCAAGAGTAATTTTGGACGTCATTGATGGGTTGAGGATTCTACTTTGAGGGTGATGAGAGTGATTTTTCACTCTTCAAACGATATGTGGTTGTTGACCATTTACAACAATTGGATCAGGGTCTTCGGTCACTGCACGACCCACATCACACCAGAATGGACCTTCCTTTAGCCCTTGGGAAAAGGAATTATGCATTACTACGGGTTCTAGATGCCCATTTCCAGCATCTACTTCTGAAATCAAGTGATGAATGTGCAGTAGCTCTTGTTTTGTCATTGCCTTATCTGCATGACGGCTTGTGAACTTTTATGTGGTTTCTAGGCACTAGCAAATTACACAACAAACATCCTTTTAAAATCAACTAACGAGGTGATTAGTTTTGGCGATAGCCCATTAAACCACCTGAGGGTTGACTCCCTATGTGCGGTGAAGAATATACAATACTTCAACATGTTTGTAATCTTCAATAAATAAATGATCAACTTAAATAAGGCTATGTTGTTAGTTGGATCAGTCTAACCCTTGTGCATATCCAAAGCATGAATCTTAAATTTATATGGGGGCCAAATTTTAAAAATCTGTTGAGAGAATGTGTTCTCTGGTTGGCGGGTACTTCATTTTGTCTAAACTATTGTTGATCTATCAGTGCCAACCTAGTACTGTAGAAGTACTTGGAATCTCTGATCTTTTGTTCTAGCAAATTTTACTTTTTAGTCGTTGAACGTCGACGCTTCCTATTAGGGGGTTTTCTCACCTCCCCGAGCCAACACTTCTTTGAGATTGTTCATCATCTCATCCTTCAACCTGGATTTGTTACTACACAAATTCTCTAGTGCACTTTGTATTGGCAACCAATATATATGGATCTATAAAAAAATGTAGCTCATTTTGTCAAGAGGATATTTTTTTAGTAAATTTAGTGATAAGTTTTACACTCAATCTTTATTATGAGAAGTTATAGATGTTGAATGAATGGAATAGTGAAATTAAAGGTGAAAGTTGTACTTAAATAAAGTGTTATATTATTGAAAATAATAAACTCACAAAATTAAGAAAATAATATTTCAATTAATTTCCATCATGAAAACCTATTAATGAAATTAAAGATGAAAGTCACACTTAAAGTCCATTATAAAGTGTTATATTGTTGAAAAAAATAAACTTACAAAATTAAGAAAATAAAATTTCAATTAATTTCCATCATGAAAACCTATTATAATGTGGTCTAATACATTATTAATAACAACAATTAATAATGGTTATCATGATGTGATCTAATAAACCATTAATACTAATGACTAAGAAATTGGCATGATGTGACATACAAGTAAGAATTCAATGTATATATTTTTTTGAATTACATTATTTTTCAACTTAAATAATATGATGTTTAAAAATAGAGTGCAAATGATGTCATAAAAAATGATCTTATCAAGAATAAATATTGCACATCAAAAATATGTTAGCATGAATCTTAAAGAAATCAGTCGGCCGACAGAAGAAACGATGTGGCGCTCCGAGACCCGCCAGAGACGAGCCAAAATCTCATATCTAGTCGAGCGTACCCTATAAGTCGGAGGGAAGATAAACCTCAAATGAGCTTGACTCAATTACTGTTATGGAGTCAACAGACAATTATTTCGGTAATTCATTGAATAGACGCTTGTTCCATAAAGGCCGTAGGGAGCCACGATAGGCTCCCAGCCCCATCCGGTTAGGCTACATTTCATGTCCAAGCCCCATCTGGTTGGAACCCTTAGTTGGCTTCCGATACCATCCATACGAATGCTATTTTAGGTTTCGACATTAAATCCGTGTATTGACTAATATATCCCCTTCTAATCTATGTATTCTAAGGTTTATGAAATTTTACTGCTTTATACCGTACTATTGTTTTCTCTGTTCCCCTCTCTCCCTTTTCTTCTCGTGCTCTAATCCTTAGGCATGTGTTCCAGACAGATTTGGATTCAGCAAGTATTGATAAATCTTTTGGTTGAAATTTTTAAGAGTTAAAAATAGGATTATTGAACTCTAATTTTAATAAATTTTTAATTAAACATAACATATTGTTATTAAAATTATACTATATAAATGAGCAAAAATCAAACACTTAAATTATAATTGAAAACCTCATAATTTTAATT